AAAGGAAAGGAAAGGAAAGGAAAGGAAAGGAAAGGAAAGGAAAGGAAAGGAAAGGAAAGGAAAGGAAAGGAAAGGAAAGGAAAGGAAAGGAAAGGAAAGGAAAGGAAAGGAAAGGAAAGGAAAGGAAAGGAAAGGAAAGGAAAGGAAAGGAAAGGAAAGGAAAGGAAAGGAAAGGAAAGGAAAGGAAAGGAAAGGAAAGGAAAGGAAAGGAAAGGAAAGGAAAGGAAAGGAAAGGAAAGGAAAGGAAAGGAAAGGAAAGGAAAGGAAAGGAAAGGAAAGGAAAGGAAAGGAAAGGAAAGGAAAGGAAAGGAAAGGAAAGGAAAGGAAAGGAAAGGAAAGGAAAGGAAAGGAAAGGAAAGGAAAGGAAAGGAAAGGAAAGGAAAGGAAAGGAAAGGAAAGGAAAGGAAAGGAAAGGAAAGGAAAGGAAAGGAAAGGAAAGGAAAGGAAAGGAAAGGAAAGGAAAGGAAAGGAAAGGAAGAAAAGGGATTACACAGGACTAGAATTTCTCTAGTAAGAGATGTCATTTCTAAATTTGAGAGTTGCACTTTAAAAAGTATGCTGGTCAAGTTATTCAAGGGCATTATCTGCTGAGAACCTACAACCCTGAGTGTTAAAGTAGTGACAAGCGCCCATAAATTAGTAACTATGAGTGCAGATAGCAGTAAATTGGAGGCACTCCTTTAGGAATGCTTCCAATTTTAAGGAATGGCTATTGTGATTAAATAGCTAATGGGCAACTTATGCCTTGCTGTTGTTTGTATTCAGATCTAGTTAAAAGATGTTTAATTTTTTAAAGCTAATTTTATCAATCTGCTCGGTACATTAAAGCAGCACTTTAGTTTCTCAGAATGCCTTTTAAAACACTTGGTGCTGGTTTTCAGTGACATCTGTTGCCTGGGATTTGGATATGCTGCCTTCCCAGAAGCTTTACTGCATTTAGTGCACGGTTCTCTGGGAGTCAGTTCTTGGCATCTGCCAATCTCACTGAGCATCAGAGTTGAAGCCATCTTTGGGCAAAAGCCCATATTGAGAAACGCTTAAAGAAAAGAGGTAATAGAAAAAGAAAGAAAGAAAGAAAGAAGCCCACTAGTTTTTAAATATCAATTAATATATAATAAGCATGCACTCATGTTTAGAAAGTAAGAAAAGGGTTTGGGTTTTTTTGTTTGTTTTTTGGTTTTAAAAATGAAAACATTTTTATTGCTCTACAGTGATATGCATTTTATGTACTTTGCTTTGTAAGATAGCCAAATAAATCAGGACATGAGATAAGCCTTCAAGGCAGATCCTGACAGGTAATTCTTAGGAATCACTGGCCAACAAGAGACAGAAAGTCCCAAAGATTCCCCGCTGCAAGAAGCAACAGAGTTTTAATCTGAAGCATAATCTGAGGCAAAACATGTCAGGATCTGAAACAGAAATTCTTCGTACTAGAAAACTCTCAGTTAACTCCTGTGGTTAATCCTCTGCCTGATGAAGTTTTTATACTTCTTGTTTTATTTTTCATTAATGGTACTTGAAGTATCCACTTCCTCCCAACAAAATATTTATAAATCCCATTGCAAGTAGAACAATTTCTCTGTGCCTGGGTCCCTGTAGGCACTTGTTAATACTCCAGGAACTTTCCTTTTCCTTCCACCTCAATCTCTAACACTCCACACCCAGAAGCGTATCCTAGGAACTTTTTTTTATCATTCCAATCCAACATTGGTACATAAAAATGAATGTTACTACATGTTTTCAGTAGACTCCAGCATCCGCACCAATGACTTGACCTTGTGCCCTCCACCTCCCAGTGTGTGCACTGCACAAAGGCCACCAGCAGGGGGCAGAGTGGAAATGATATTTAACCCAGGCTCTTTTTACCATCCACAACCCATCCGTCAGAGAAATGGGTTAAGTGTCATTAAAGGTGTTTCCCATTCCCTAGATTGGGCCTCAGTCAGGCGGCCTGGTTGTGCCTGTCCAAATGGGGCCCCTTTCTCTAATTCACACGAAGTGCCCTGTGGGATAGCTGTGATCCTGTTCCTGAGGAATACCTGAATACTACTCTCTCTTCCAGCAGGTACTAACATAAACGATTACAAAAACATAACCACAGCCCTTCCTAAAAGAGCTTTGGCAGAATTAATCCAACTGTGAAAATTTCATGAAAATTTACATTTGAGCATGCCAGAGTTAAACTAAATCCTGTCTGAGATGTGTCTGTGTGCTACAAGTCTTGGTAGTTTAGGTGATTTTTTAAAAAAGAAAAAACTCATCAAAAGCTTTAAGTAAGTAATACAACATACCCACACCCTTTTTTTCTCTTAAAATGACAATAAGTGGAGTAATCATCAGTACTTTTAGGTTTTATTAGTGGCAGTAAATGGCTGTTGGAACAGTGAATGCTTCAGTCTGGCATTATCTTTTCAGTTTTATTTTAAATGGAACACCTTACTCACCCTGTCTTCTACCATAAGTCGTGGTCTCTTCCCAGATAACCATCATCTATTAATCTAAGGCATTCTTATCTCAGTATAATTTTTAAGGTGTACTACGCCATGACTTCTGATTAGATCGTGAATGAACTATTCCACACACTATTAGAATTAATGAGTGGACATATATAAACCCATTAGTGTTATGTCCTGACATATAATGAGACTTAATAAATGCTAGAGACCTTTCTTTTCTGTTTCTCAGAACACAGTAGTATTTGCCATTTATGATAAATTTACCCATCAGAGAATATTTTTTTCAGGTTCATTATGAAAAATAGCTTTGCTTCTCCTGAAGAATTATTTTATTTGTATGTTACATATGCTGTATAACTCTTAAGTATCTTAAGTACCTCATTTTTGTCCCCAGCTATGCCTTGGCTACTAAGATGCTTAGTGCTAGACTTCAGATTTACTGCACTGAATATTATGGTTTGCCTTTTTGTCCATTAGTATTTCTCCTGATTTACATTAATTTTGAAATCTTTACCATCTTCTTTTAAATTAATTTTATCTTGTTTTAAAGAAATTTTAAAGCTACTTTAAATTCCCTTTGAAATAAGGTAGAAATAAATAAGTAAATTTAAAAGATATATTTGTTATAATTATTTTTCAGTACCTTAAAAACATACTGAAGCTGTAATATATAACTTTGAGTAAGAGACAAACACATTCATCTTTAGTTTAAAAGTACTCAGAGAGATTCCAACTTCCAGAGATAGAAGCAGTGGAGCAATCGGGCCTCTTCTATTAAAATACATTTCTTAATACAGCATTGTTTTTCTGAAGCATTTTTGGGCTACCCTAATAACTTTTTCTAGTTGCTTACATATTGCTTTAGTTCAAAAGAAATGATGCATCCCAAAAGGTACAGCCATATTTCCCTTTTTCTCTCTCTGATATAATTCTTTTTCCACCAAATTCTTCTCTGCAGAAATTTAGCTTTGAGAATGGGCCACAAGAGAAAGAGGAAGCTGTATCTCACATTTCTTCCTTCCTCAAAACCACCCAAGCCCAAGACCTAAATTCAATTAATTATTTTTTTTAATCTCTATCGAAAACTCCTTTATATATTAATTTAATAAGGGGAAAACAAACAGCTTTGGCATGTTGTGAAGTGGGGTTTATGCCTTTCATTAAAAAAAAAAAAAAGTGGATGCAAGTGAAATCAATGGTTACCTAGATGCTGCATTTGGTTAAAGTCAACTGCACAGACAGGCATGCACTCAAACCAAAGGATGGGGCTGTATTATAGGAACAGCCAAATTTGCTCTTGTGCTTCTTGAAGCCTAACGAGTAGAAGCCTTCTTAGATTTAATTATCTTCATTCTAGCATGGTTCCCACCTAGTCTCCTGGACCAAAGAGCTTTCAAATCAGTCCAAGGTCAAACATGACACAGACTAGGTGATATACTGCTAACAGTAGGGGTGGAATCTTGAGATGGTTCTTTGGCTTATACCAAGGTATGAGTGTGAGCCAGTTGGCCAACAAAGAGCCATCCTCACAACCTTCTAAGAATTCAGCACCTGAGCAATAATTTCTACCGGGGGGCTAGGAATGACCATATTTGTTCTTTAAAACGCCTGATTCAAATTATTCTGCCAGTTAAACTGTGGCTATTTCAGGAATAAGGGATTGACTGCAGCAACTATCTAATCAAAGACATGTATCATGAAAATAGATTTAGAAAGGTGCATTTTGGAAAGGGTAGAATCAGAGGTAGAAACTCAATTCCTTCTACTAGTCCAGTGATTCTCATACTCGAGCATGTGTCCAAAACTCCTAGAGGACTTGGGGAAACATAGATTGCTGGTCCCTACCCCTGGAATTTTTAACTCAGTTGGTCTGGGGTGGGACCTGAGACTCTGCATTTCTAATAAGCTTCTAGCTGATGTTGATGCTGCTCTTTTGGGGACCACATTTCAGAACCACATTTTAGAACCACAGGATATACCCACCATGTGACACTCACCGTGGCTGCTTAGTCTGATGAGGTCCACCTCTTTCAAGAGCTCTGCCTCTACTATCCTTGGAACAGCTTTTACCAATGCCAATCAGAAAAGTTTCTCTAAGGATAGAAATGAATTTCAGGGTTCTTTGTGTCTTAAAGAAGTCTTAGGATACAGCTTTGAATAGTAGAAAATGCCTCTTGGCCAACCCAGAGCCCTCATTCTAGGGATTTTCATAGTTAATATTATAGAAGTTACGGCTTGACAGACAAAAGAGTTCAAAAAAAGAATCTCCTTTCAACTTGCTAAATTAACCTTCCATAGAACACACTTCAGGAAAAGTTGCTCTAAAACTAATGGTAGAACTGCAAGAATGTTTCAGTTCACCAGTTTTTCAAATTTTTATTTGACATAGAATTCGTTTTTCAAATGAAATTTTTCCCAGAATACCAACCTATAAAGGAAAGTCTTGGCAGAATAGACATCATTTGTGGACTACCTGAAGTACCTGGAGAATCCTAAATTTCCAAAGAGCACAATTTGAAACCCCATTTAATGCATAATAAACACAGACTGTTACGATAGTTGTTATTGCTGGAAGGTATCTGTGAGGCCTAATCTAAAACTCTTGTCCCTAGACCAGTGCTCCTTTCCTCACTCTTTCAAAAATGTGAACACAGAGCTATGTTGAAAGGCAGGTTCATTTGTAGATATCTCATCACCGATAGCATTTCTGTACTCAGTATTATAAAATAACTGGGTATGATTGCATCTTACCAGCAATGTAGACCTTATGTTTTCGGCCTCCAAGTGTTACACTCCATGTCTCATTTTTCACCCCTTACCTGAAAAGGATTTGAGCCACTTCTTTTTTCTGTATTTCTTCCTTTTGAGGTTAAAAAAAATAACCTGCTTTAATTACCATGCGCCCCAAAAGAAGCATATTATGGAGAAATTTGCCCCATTTCCCTGTTTGTTAAGGATTGTTGTATTAGCTGCCTCTGTTTCGCAGCAGGAACACCATGCAGACCACATTTCATTCACTTTTCATTTGGAGATGGTGGGGAAGAGCAGATGTTGAGTGGCATTGTTTGCATGTGGCATTTTTGTTTACTAATTTGCAAAATTTGTTTTACCCCCTGCAGCTGTAAATGAAAAAGCTATAAAACTAAATGAAACTCTAGGAATTCAAGACAAGGCCTTTGAGAGAAATTTGCAAGAGCTTCAGAAAGAGATTGATCAGATGATGGGGGAATTAAGGAGGAAAAATCTAGATGCACAGAAAGAAGTTGTGGAAGATGAGTTGGTGTGAGTAGACCCTCTACCATGTTTTCATTGGATAAACTGAACTTTCCAAGTTGTTTAAAGTTTTCTAAACTTTCCATCACGTATGTGAGTATAAGATACTTTGCTTGCTACTTAGGTTTTATTTACCTAGTTATAATTTATCTTGCTCTAAAATGGATTAAAAATATGTTCTTGCCTATATATAAATAATCAAGTAATTGATCTTTTCTGGTGCTGTCCTTTCTATAATTAGGCTTCTGGGCTTGCTTTATTAATTGCCTGTATTTGGAACTTTTAAACTATCAATATTTTTTTGTTTCGTTTTGATGAAAATGCTTTTGAATAAATAAAGCTATTAATTTTGCATGCCATCTTAGATGTCTTGTCATCTCACAGAATGCTAAATAAGAGTCATCAAATAATAAATGCTTAATACCTTGAAATCAGGGCTAGGAATTTGAGGTTGGGAGTAATAGCAATAGTGACTTTATTGATGCTAATTAACTCATGTCACCACACACTCAATATAAAAAAATACAATTTTACATCCATAGCTAACTTCAAAGCGATGGGGTTAATAATACTTAAATAATGTATACTAAACTAACAACATCAGCAACATCTGAGAACTTGCTAGAAAAACAAATTATCAAACCCCACCCCAAAACTACTGAATCAGAAGCTTTGGGGATGGAGCCCAGCAATGTTTTGACAAACATTTCAGAACTACTGTTTTTCAAGCACTTAGCTTAAGGACTCAGATATTGTCACTTTAGGAAAACTATAAAGTTAAACCCCAGAAACTCCGAGATTACTCAGAAGAAAAAGAAAAGTAAATGAAAATCATGACTTTATATTAGCATGTCAATAACATAGAGTTCCATTCACAGTTTCTAACCAAACATCAGTATATTCATACCTTACATTCAAAGTAACAGAGGAAATGTCTCATTATGTTGAATCAGGTAGCATGAGGGGGCATGTGAAGTAAATCATAAAACTCATTGCATCAGTCAAATTATGAGAATGAGGTCCTTTCCAATTAAAATTTTATGTTACTAACAAATTAAATGTGTGGATTTGGGGGCGTTAATTTTCATTGTAAATGGTAGTGTCACTTTTCAGGTATCCGTTTTCAACTTGGTTTAGCATGCAGTCAGTCTTCATCAAATATTGTCTCTTTTTCCGTTCTCGCAATGCTAGCGTGTCTGTAACAGTGTAGAAGCAGGAAGCCCTGCGGAGGTGGCGGGCTCACTGTGTGTTGGGCGGGTGCTTGCAGGGCTGCGGAAGGCCTGCTGAAGAAGGTGCGGAGGGTGTTCGGGGAGCCCCGGGGGAGGAACGAAGGCCTGGAGAATGAGCTCCGCGGGAAACTCACCCACCACAAAGACCAGCTTGACGACGCTCGGGGCCTGCTGAGAGAAGCCATGAACAAAGTCAGAGAAGCTAATCGCTTGTCTTCAGCCAACCAGGAGAACATGACTGCCCTGGAGGTGAGTCTCGGGCTCTCAGCTGGGTGTGGGCTGCGGGGGGGCGTTGGACGTGGCTGGTGGAGTTGATGCACATTCAGAGGTGAGAAATGACAGCTCGGAAGGGAGACTTCCGAGAAGCAGAGCGGGGAATGAGCTTCCTCCTTTTTAAGTCAACGATCATTGCCCATAAAAGCAAATAAAATGTAAAAACTTAAGCTATTGAAGATTTTTCAAAAACAGCGAGGTACAGTGGAAGGAGCTGTTCACTGGGAGTCAAGGACCTTGGTCCAAATGGCAACTGTGCCACTAACTGGAAGCACAAGCTTGGCCAAGTCAATTAAGCCTCTAAACAACAGTCCCCGCCTGCATGAGTGCGTTGGACTAGAGCAAACCCCCGTTATCTTCAAGTACTAAGAGCACAATTTTACACCCCAACCTACCCCACACCTCGGTTTAGACAGCGGATGGCCCTAAACCACGCAAGTGACAAGTATTTTCTCATGGGATTTGGGCGCGTGCAGAACAGCTCACTGGGAGGCCAGCACTTTGGAAGATTTTGATTTTCTCTTTTCAATGTGTTCTATGCAAGTGATATTTTAAAAATAACTAACATGAACAGCTCAAGTGTGAGTTCTTTTTCCCTCCTTTTTCTCACAGACTAGAGGCACTTTTCTCCTCCAGAAATGATGGGCAGCCTCTGCCCTTCTCAGGGTGCCAACGAGCTGGAACTAAACAGGCTCCTCCACCTCTTTGCCTCTTGGTTGCTCTGTCTCCCCAACTCTCCCTCTCTCCCCCTCTCTCCCCCTCTCTCTCCCTCTCTCCCCCTCTCTCTCTTAGTAAACATGACAAATTGATCGCTTGTCCCAAGAGTAAATTTAGCACATAAAATGGCACAAACCTGTATTTGGTATTTAAAAAGGAACAACTTTCTCCCCAGAGACAGACTTACCTTTGCTGTTTTCAAAGTATTTCACCCCCAACAGATATGAAAACCGCAGCAGAGCTATATATCTTCTAAAACATAATCCCACCTTCAACTCTACCCCAACATGCCCTGGCATATTTATGGAATGCCACTTGAATAAAATGAATCTGGATTTTTTTTATCTACTCATTTCTGTCCGTTTTTCTTTGGATTAAGAGAAGTATGAATTCAATTTTTAAAAGCCCTCCCCCCACACGCACACACTGTCTCCTGGACTTAGCCTTGTCATTTTGATAGAAGCTTGAAGAAGCTCGCTTTTTCCTTAACTGACGTATCTAATTCGAACCAATTCGGAGTCTACTGACATGCTGGCAGCATTAAAGAAAAAGCACTGTCTCGTGAGGCAGGATGCGGGGCCGTCGCGGGAGCGGAGGCCTCAGCACGATTCCTCCCGCGGGGTCACACACCTCGGGCGTGGCTTACTCGGAGGTGCACCACTTCATTTTATGGCAACAGTTTAAGAAATTAAAATTACCTGTGTGGAAAGTATAATAAGCGTCTGGGAAGTATTTCAAGAAGAGTTACAGTGGCACAGTAAATGGTGCTTTTAGCTATTCCTTCCTTTTAGTGATGTTTAAAACTAGGAGCCATCATCCTTGCCCACCCCCCCGGAGATGCCTGGAGCTTATATAGTCAGTACCGTAGTTCTGAGCGGTCCTTTTCATATTTCCATTTTATATGCCATGCTTAAGTACAGGCTTGTTTAAAACTTACCGGAGTAAATAGATAAACTGATTAAATTAGCAAGAGGAAGGCACAGCTTATTTAAGGTTGTTTGCCAAGGCTGATTAAAGTTGATTACAAAGGCTGGCTCTAGAATGGCTAGAAAGGAATGACCTGGAGAGTATGTTAGACCAGTTCCTTGGACTCTCACTCAGACCCAATTGGCTGGTCTCGGGTGTGGCCCAGGGTCCATGTTCTAAAACTTTCCCTGGTTTATCTGATGTGCATATAGGTGTGAGAACAACCTATACATTATATCCATTTGATGGAATAATGAGCTTTCTTAAAAAATAAATAACTATTGTATCTGTGCCCACTAAGAAGGTGATATAAGACCCAACTCAAATGGGATTTTTTTGTTTATTTTTAAAAAGGTAAGCATGTAACTTTTATCATTAAAAACATTTGTGAAGCCCCTACTAAGTTCAGGAGATATGCTAAACACAAAAATTGATAATGTCAAGTACTGGCCCTCATCCTGTGGTCCTGGGAACAGTATCATCAGCATCTACCAGAAACTTGTTCAAAATGCAAATTCTCAGCCCCCGCCCAAAACAGTCAACTGAGAAACTGAGTAGGGCCCAGCAACTGGTGTTTTTAAATCCCTTCAGTTATTCAGATGCAGCCTTAAGTTTGAGAACCATTGATATTTAGAATAAAACACCATCTCTAATGACTTTAGGTGACATATTTATTAGGAGGTACACACAAGTAAACCATTCTGTTCACTAAACTAATTATGGAGGCAAGAAAAGGAAGGACATCTCCATTAGCCTGGGTTTAGGATGGGCTTCATAGAGGACCTGACGTGTGTGCTAAGTTAAAATAAAAGGGGAAGAACATTCCAGAAATAGGGGGGAACCATTTGCCAAAGCACAGGAAAAGAAAAAAAGGGGTAAAACATTTTGGGAAAATTCAGTGGTTTGACAGGACTGGAATGAAGATTGCATGGAAAGGAGCGAGGGAAGAGAAAACCAGCAAAGACAGAGCCAGACCTTAAGTTAATAGAGAATTGCATTCTGAGACTCAGCCAAGGAATTTGGTTTTTATCCTGAAAGCTATTGGATGCAATGGAAATACTGGAGTCATGGATTAAAATTACATTTTGGGGATTTTTTGCGTGGTTCATGTAAACTGGAGAATTGGTTTTGTATTGGAAAATAGTGTGGTATAAAGCTGGGAAAATAAGCTGGGGTAGTATTTAAAGTCTGTCAGACATCTACCACGGTTGGTAACCAGGGTGTTTGAGGTTGAACAGGAATGATTCCTGGCCTCATAAAACTTACAGTCTCCTAAAAATTCAGTAACTTTATCCTTTTACTACATGTAATACTGTGATTAATAGGGGCTGGGAGAATCCGTAAAAGATTCGCAGAAATGATGGCATCATAGCAGAAATTGAGAGAAGATGATAGAAATGATGGAACAGCTTGGGCCCGGACACAGAGCTCTGAAACTTTCGGAGCTTAGGAATTGTCAAATAGAGCAGTAAAGCTCATTCATAAGCTACATAAAAGTCTGTAAGAGAAGGTGGCTCTGGAAAGAGTATTTGGGGCCGGATCATAGAAGGCTTTGAATGCAGCCTGCTGGAAGCTGACCAGGTTAGAAGGGTATTTCCAGCAATGGAGAGAAGTCAGAGAGAAGGTGACCAATTCTGCTCATTACACAAAGGAGCACATTGTTACAACCTTGTAAAAGGAAGGATTGCTGAGAAAGTGAAGAGTGAGTTGCTACATAAACGATTGAATGGAAGGTAGCTTTTGCAGGTTTTTAATCTACCCCAAGCATGCATTGCCCACCCCCTTCCACACACACACACATAAAAGGTGTTAAACTTACTGAGCTCGGGATGAATTAAGATCTAATTAGAAGTTAAAAGTAGAACTATAATCAACTTTGGTATTCAAACAGAATCCCCTAATTATGCTTATGGCAGACTTTTAGAGAATAATTTGGGGCCTCCTTTTTGTTCCTCAAAACTCCTTTCTTCCTTAGGAATTTTATATCCTACATCATTCTCTATTCATTCCCTCTCTTTATTTACTTTTATGTCACCCATCATGGCTTAAAAATATACATTAATTTTCTCATTTATTCTCTCCCTCTCCCAGACAAGCCATGAGGAAGGAACATATCTCGTCCACTCTATCCCCTTGGCCTATAACAGTGTCTACAATAACTTTTTTTTCAATTAATAAAGTGCCACAAAACAAACACAAAAACATGTTTAGATATACTTTTATTAATATTTAGAAGCTCCAAATCTCCATTTTTTTCCTTGTCGCAAAGCTAGATTCTATCAGTGTCTAATCTGAAAGTTAGCCACCTCTGAAATCTCCTGAATCTCCAGATCATCACTTCTGCTTTAGTATGAGAAAGAACACATTTTGATCCTGCATAACAATTGATTCTCTAAAGTGACTCACATAGAGCTTTTATAAAGATTCTGACTCACTTCTTAGTTGAAACCAAAATGTGTGCAACTTTTCACCTAATGTACACGTGGAAATATTCTCTGTTTCATTGATACAGCATTTTAAATTACCTTGATTCATTAGTATAAATAAGCTGTGTTGAAAACTGTTCTCGAATATCTGTGCATGGCATGACTTTAAATCAGTTCATGGAGAAGCTAAGGGCTATAATGACTAGTTCCGTAAGAGAGCGTCAGGCTCTTGCAGGGTAAAATACGAGTAATCAGGAGCCTCAGGACTGCCCCTGTACTTGTAGGCCCTGAAGGGGGACTGACGCATTGAAATGTCCTCTGCATTAGCCGGTGACGGGAGTAGCTGATGAGCCAAGTGTCACCAGTTCAAGTTTCAGGAATTGATTTCTAATTTTATTTATTCATTTAAACATACTTATTGAGGAAACTCTTCTAAGTATTGGAAATACAATGCTATATAAGACTATTTTCGTGGAATTTATATTATAGCGATGGAGATAGTCACTAAACGCAATAAACAAATAGTGTATCAGATGGCCATAAACTCTGGAGCATGGGCTAATGCAAGAATAAGTGATATGTTCAGTGACATTGCACAATGCATTCAATATGTTATCCCCCATCAGCTACGTACAGTTCAGCAGGCTGTGGGGTTTTATTAGTCCCTATACACACATGAGAATTGTGATGAATTGGTGTCCCTGATTTTCATTAAATGGCATGTGCAATTAAGAGGATTCAATCTATACAAAAAATTAAATAATATTACCTGTGTTAAATAGCGTATGGCCACCCAATAGAATATAACTCATGTAAATGAGTGCTAAGAAGAACAAAATAAAGTAACATAATAGTCAACAATTACATCGTGTTTACTATACACCAGGCAGTGTTCTAAGCTAGTTCTCGAATTTTACTGTGTATATTACCTGGAGTTCTTGTCAAATGTAGATTCTGAGTTAGTAGTTCCCAAAAGGCATTGAGATTGAACCTTTCTAACATGCTGCCGGGTGCTGCTGATGCTGTGGTCAACTGGGCCACACTTTGAGTAGGAAGGGACTAGCATTTCACAGGAGGCTAGATAGCTTGTGACAGTGGGCCAGGCTTGGAGCCCAGCCAGGCAGTCTGTTGCCTGAATCTGACTCATAATCATTGTCCTCTAGCATATAGAGAATACTTAGGACAAAAATGAGTGCTGTTTTAGATAAGCGATCAGAGAAGTGACCATCAGCCGGAAACGAAGAAGGAAGCCAAAGAACTGGCAGCGCCTGGCAGCACACTGAAGTGGTTGGAGAAGAGCTAGGGAGGGAAGGGTGTGAAATTAGTGCTCTCCCAGTGCAAGTAGGAAATGCGATTTCTGTCATAGGAGAGTCGGTGCTTTCACAGCTCAAGACCAACTGTATCATTAGGTAGACCAGGGTTCAGATCTTAACTACATTGTACTAACTGTGTGACCTTGGGTAAATCACATAGCTGTTCAAGTTTCCACTCTTTTATTATTCTTTAATTTGTTTTTATAATTAAATGTATTGGGGTGACATTGGTTAATAAAATTCTATAGGCTTCAAGTGTACAGTTCTAAGGGATATCATCTATATATTGCATTGTGTTTACCACCCAAAGTTAAATATTCTTCTGATCTGACCCCCTTCACTTCTCCCCCACCCCCTGTTCTCTCTGGGTCTATGAGTTTTTGCTCTTTGTTTTTCTTGTTCCTATTCTTTTAAAAGGTGATAAACACAGTTGTTGTAGAATTAAATGAGAAAAGCTTATAAACTACTTGGCACATATTGAGATTGAAATGAATATATAAAGTAGCATTATTATTTATGTAAAAAAACATGAATGGCAGAGGCTTAAAATTATTATTGATGCAGTTAAAGCCACAGGTAAAAAGATGATTGCAAGAATATAAATTAGTCAGAAGTAAAAAGAAAAAAATAGGCAAAGTTATGCTCCAAATAAAGAAATAGCACTGTTTCTCTCTCAATTATATCACTCTTCTAGGTTCAGAATGAGTTTCATGTAGTGTTGAGACAAGCTATCAGTTTCAAAAAAAATTTAGAGTCTGTTCTCTTCTTATGGGAGTCTCCGTTAAGTTTATACTCCGATGTGATAGTTCCTCTCTCTTTTTTTTTTGAAAAGTACTTCTCCTATATTCCCTTTAAAATCCAATTTCTTTCCATTTTTACAGAACTCCCATAGAATAAACCTGCTTATGTGTATGCTCACAATATACTCATTGGGACATAGATTCCAGAATTCAACATCCAGTTCCAATGTAATTCATTGTACTACCACATGTTCAGTAATACATATTCAGCACTTACATTTTAGTTTAAAAATGGATGTTCATCCTGCTTTAAAAATCATTTTTAATTCCTCAGCTACCATCACATAACTTTTCTTCTCTTGGATGACTTTCTCACAACGGGACGAAGAAAGTACCTGTACAGGCATTTAAATAAAACGATTCTCGGAGGATTGGCTGAGTAGTTTATATTAGTCTCATCTAGCCTCATTGTCAACGTGACATACCTTGCTTGCAACACCTTTGTTCAGACAGCTCAGGGAAGTCAGGTATATGGAGCTGGAGAGGGTTTTACCTAAAAACATTTTCATGTTTTGTTCACGCTGTACTACAGGAAAAGAAAGAGGCTATTGAAAATGGCAAACGACAAACTGAGAACACTTTAAAAGAAGGCAATGACATACTTGATGAAGCCAATCGTCTTGCAGATGGAATCAACTCAGTCATAGACGTGAGTATTTGATAAAACCCAAAGTAAGAAGAAAGTGGTAATGACAGATAGGAATCCATGAGAAATCTCAGTAATAGAAGCAAGTGCTAATGTTTTTATTGTTTTCTGTGGGTGCATAATTGTTTCTATTGTGACTGTGCTCTCCTACTAGCAACAATTAGAGCTTCATATTGTTTTCCCAATAGGTATGAATGACTGTGAGGGCACTCACCCACTCCCACAAACCTGATTTTTCTTTCACACTGAACTTCATTACTTGTTGCTAGAACAGCATTTACAATCGGCTTCAATATTCATATAACATTAGTAAAAAAAGAAGTGTAAATCTGCAAACAGAGTTTTAACATCCTGTCTAATCCAGTAGACACTGTGATATATGGTGATAGAAACCGAAATGGTCTTAAAGATCCTAATGAGGATCATTTATGCATTTATACCTGTGAAGTAACATTTTATAAAAAGATAGTTAGGTTCTTCTCAATGTAAATTGGCTTCCAATATTTCCTAATCTCTTTCATTAAATAAAAGCTTTTATTCTCTATTTTCTTTTTGCTATGTTAGTATATTTGAAGTTTCATATAACACTAAGGATGTGTAATTATATCTCAGAGAGTAATTCGTACATGAGAGAAGGCTTGAATTCACTTACTTAAAACACCCTCTTTTCTCTACATAACAGTATGTTAAAGACATTCAAACTAAATTACCTCCCATGTCTGAAGAGCTGAAAGATAAAATAGATGACCTCTCCCAAGAAATGAAAGATAGGAAGCTTGCTGAGAAGGTGTTCCAGGCTGAGAACCATGCAGCTCAATTGAACAACTCATCGGCTGTCCTTGACGGGTATGTCATCTGTTGTTGACATGTCTATGTATCTTGACACTTGTCCAAAAGTTTTGACTAACAGAAGTGGTAGAGAATTGCTTTCAAATCTTGATTTCTGTAATTATGAACATACGAGATACGTGGCCTTTTTGTGTAAGAGCCTAATTAGGATGCTCTGGGCAGAGCTCTACTGGAGCAGCATCAAAAGTCCAAGTTAAAAGTGGATTCAAATATGGCTTGAACATAGCCCTAGGCTATGCTTAGAAGAAATGGCTTTTGTTCTTCATTAGAGAGCACAGCGGTTGCCTTATTAGCATTTTAAATAACAATGTATAAACACACATTCTGCTTCACATTTCAGTTTTATATTTTTAATGGAATTCAAACTACATATTGTTAAAAGGGTTGCTTTTGAAAATGTGGCCTCATACGTGGTCTTTAAATCTTTCTTTTCAGACTCCAGGGAGATACTATCTATTCCTCTGTGAAATAACAGCTCACTATAGCTGGGATTTTTATATGGGTCAGAGGAGGGAGGACAAGTGGTGAGGTGTGTTTGACTAATGAACAAACAGCCTTCTAGGTAAAACTGGTATGCTTCCCTGCAATTATATAGGTGCCATTAGCCCCAAGAATCATTTTCCCAAACAAATCTGTATTTAATATATGATATGTGTAAGATTCTGTTCCAATAAGGAATACTCATTGATACGAAGGAAAATATAAATGTTTGAAGGCCCAGGGCATGATTCATGCACAGTTCATTTCATAACAAACTTTTGCCAATTTAGCATTAAGGTCAGTAGGTAGAACAGTAAGCCTGAAGTCAGCAGATGCTGGCTCCAAGTCCTTAATTGGCAACATATTGGACAAGCTATTTAAACTTCTGAGATTCATATATTTTCACCTGGGAAATATATCTACCCTAGAGAGATTTTGTGAAATTCATTCCAGTAGTGTGGTGCAAGCACTCCGAAATGTGTAGCGTGCTTCACAAATGCTGTAAAGCATCATTTCGTTCCACACACTTGCATAATGCACATGGTTACAGACACTGTGGGGGATTCTATGGGTATTTAATATGTTGATAATATTTCTTAGTTGAATTATTAGGAAGATGAGTTTAAATTGAAAACTACACCATAATAGAGCAAGTAGATAGCCCAGTATGATTTGGAATTACCATAATTATATCGGCCATGGTTATTTGGAAGCCACATTTTTTATAAGTTGGATGTTCTTTATTTGACTATCAACGGCTCATGTTCTTTTTTTGGGTAATCCCAACAGAATCCTTGATGAGGCTAAAAACATCTCCTTCAATGCCACTGCAGCCTTCAAAGCTTACAGCAATATCAAGGACTATATTGATGAAGCTGACCAAATTGCCAAAGGAGCCAAAGGTGTTGCACATGAAGCTACAAAACTGGTAAGAAACAGATAATATTATGTACTGAGAATAGAGGTCCATCTGTTTGAATAAATTTCTCAAATTTAAAGGCATCCTGGAAAATCTTAGTCAAATGTAATCTTTGTTTTAAATTATTTTCAAAGGCTCCTTTTATATTTTATCCAAAACAAAGTCCCAGTTTATTATAATCATAGCAGAACTCTTCTGTCACCCACTGCTTAACTACTGATAAAGGTCTTGAAATTACCACAGATGCCAAGCAACTCTGTGCCACTCAATCACAGAGGAGAGTCAAATGTAAGATGTTGGACAGCAAAATTTATCACTGTTATTCCAAATGTCATCAGTAAGAAATTGCTTTGAAAATTAACATTGCTTATAGTCATACACAAATTGGTTATATGTAAAGTGTGACTATAAAGTGCATCCGTTACAAAACACATCATATCATGTGCTTCTAAACTATTTATACTGTTTTTATCCACTGAAACCTTTGCCTTCAAAGCAACCTTTGGCTTCTGTTATTGTTTAAAATAAACTTGGAACTAATATTTTAGAGTTTTGGGGTTCCAAGGATAGCACATTATCTGAATATGTTCAGTAGTACAAATCCACCCCTTACATGTAGCAACATTTTGTAAATAAGTTATGTGATAAACCATGGAACTACTGCTTTAGGTTAAAAGAAACAAACATTTCATAGAAAGCATATGGTGAGTTAAAATGTGCAGGACCATTATTTACTCTTTGGCTTCACATAAAATCTCCCCACTACATCAAAATTTCAGGGGGGAAAAACCAAAAACCTCAATTCAGCATTTGACTGTAAATGAAATATGCATAAATAATTGGTGTTAAAGAAATAGATCAGTATTTTTTTTGCTTTGATATTGGGCACAAATGCTTTCTTGCATCTCAGGGATATTAGAGATATTCACCACAATCTTAGAGGGTTTATTTTGCGGTCTTAATGAAAACATCATATTCCATCAGCAATTATTACTGTTTGGTTTTCTTTGGAATGAGGTCCACTAATAGCATTAAATTCTGTTTATTTCTTTTTCAAAGCAGTGATACAATTATTGCAGAAACTTACCTATGTTTAGTAATCACTTTAAAATGAACCCATCTTAAAAATCTAAACTAAGTTCTTTATCCATCTTCTCATTGATAATTCTCTATTTTAAAGACCCTAATTTCTAAGATCACCATTTTCATCTGACCTGCATTTTACTGGATGACCATTTTCAGCACCAAACACAGTTCCTAGCAAATAGCAGGCACTTATGAATGAATGATGAAACTATGAATGAGTGAATGTCATTCTAATTGGCATTTTTCATGCCTTTCACTTTCATCTAATTTAATGTTCAGTCTTCAAGCACATCAGAGGATATCTTACCCTCATCTTTGACAGTTAGGGTGCTAATAAAAGGTGCTTATGAACTACTTATTGATAAATATGAGATAATAAGCATACCCACACTTTCAATTTCTCTTTAGAATTTTTAACCACATAGTTAATGTACTTGATGTGTAAATAGCATTATGAAATGCAATGCACAGGGGAACCAGAGATGAATGGAATTCTAACCTGCTGTCAAACCGGCGATAATCATTTGTGTTTGTTATCTGTCATGCTAATAAAAATAATGCTTTCCAACTTTCACCTACATAATTATTTTTTTTCATTCTATCTTTGAATAATCAGAGCTTACTCTGGTGCTTGAGATAGCTATAAACTTTTGTTGGGGAAATTAATCAATTCATTCATCTGTTAATCAATGACATGATGATTTAACAAACAGTAGGAAGAACAAATATTTAACAAACAGTAGGAAGAACAAAAATAAGATGTATTAAAAGCCAGTTAGGTGCCAAGCCTTCTGTTCAATCTTTATAGGCATGTTTTCCTGTATCTTTCCTTCCCTAATAATGCTTTATATTATCTCACATTTTCTACAAATGATTATTAACTAATAAAAACACATAACAACCTACATATAATAATACTCTATTATGTGTGATATAATAAAAGTTTCTATCCAATTTATATATATAATGTATATATTACATATATACATACAAAGAGAACTTATAAAAATAGAATCTCTAAAAAGAAGAAACAATGTCTTGCAGCTCTAAAAATCTCATTTGTATTTCACATGGGCTCTAGGCACAGCTCAGAAACTCAGACGTGATGCTTATGAATATGTATGAGGCATAATTAGCTTGGAAGATGCTCCTTCATCACCTGTTCTGATATTGTTGATGTGCTGCAGTGCCTTCCTAAGCATTGTTGGAAAAGGAACTCTCCAAATTCCAACGAGTCGAAACAGTCTGTTCATGCGTAACGTGCTAGTGTTTTCCATGCTGCTACTGTACGGAAGGCTTGCCTTTTAAACCCGGATTGCTGGTATGCTGCTCCTCACTGAGAGCGGTATGCCGTCAGCTCTTTAATATTTCAAGTGCTTCTCAAAACATTGAAACCTGTCTTATTCCTGCACTTCCCTTGAACCCAAACGTCTTGCTTCCACTTCCCCTGCCTGAGGTTACAACTCTCTTTTTTCTGGCCTACACCAGTGATATTCAGCGTTTTTCCTCTCATGGAAACATAAGCTAATTATTACAATTCTGTGACACACCAAAAAAAATATATTTTTTGCCGATCTGACAGAAAAATAGGTATGATTTTCGCTCATTCACACTGGATGGCCATTGTTGTGTTGGTGGTTGCCACTTTTTTTTTTTTACAATCTCAGGGAAAAGATGATAGTACCCCTGACTAAACAGTCAGTTATTGCATGTTTTAAAAATTCTTGCGGCACACCAGTTGAAAATCGCTGGCCTATACTATTAAAATAGCCAACTGATGTCCCTTGTACCTCGCACACAGCTGCCCAGTTCGTGGTCCTGGGCTGAGGCCCTGATCACGCACCGCTCCTCAGAAACTCTCGGTGGCTCAGCATTGCTTACTGCCCAGTTTCCTCGGTCTGGCATTTAAACTTTCCTGAAATTGACCCTAATCTATCTAACAGCCTTAGCTCTTCACCCTGCGCTTAGAAACTCTACAGTCCTTTGCAACTGAAATACTTGTCTTCCATCCAGACATCAAAATTCCCTGCCCCCTGTCTTTCCTGACCTTGTCGCTACTGTCTCCTTACGTCTGAGCAATGAGTGGTTGACTAAGGATCCGGGAAGAAATCACTGGCTTCCTGAAAAGCAAGAAAGACAAGATACCCAGAAGCAAAAGGCAGGCGGTATTCATAGATGCCCGAAGACGGGAAATTAGCAACAGGAAGGCCTGTCAGCTGATGGATCTCGGTCCGAGCTCAGCCGTGTTGCTGGGTGAGGGTGCAGGGGTCCAATGGAAGATCACTAAGCTGATAATCACCCAGTCAGACTCATCAGAAACATTCAGAAAAGTCAACAGTATCTAAGATCAGGAATAAAAAGGGTGAAATCACTACTTCTGCAGACGGTAAAAGTTAATAAGAAAATATTATAAACAATGTGATGCCAAAAATTCAACAATTTGAATGAAATGGACAAATTCTCTGAAAATCACAAATTATCAAAAACTCACTCACAAATAACTAACTTGAATAGCCCTATATTCCTTAAATAATTTAATTTGTTCTTAAAAACCTTCTCTTTCTCACACACACACACACACACACACACACACACATTCAGTTCCAGGTGACTTCACTGTTAAATTCCAACAAATATTTCAGGAAGAAATAATAATAATTTCTTCAGAGAATTAAAGAGGAGGAAATGCCTCACCTCATTCTATGAGGCCAGCTACTTTGATACAAATCAGACAAAAATATTACAAAAAATGAGATTTATAGACCCATATTCCATATGAACATGGATAAAAAAATTCTTAACAATGTTAAATCCAACCACTTATTAAGACAAGCTACAAACTAAGGGAATATATTTGCAAATTACATATCTGATAAAGAATTTGTATCTAGATTATGCATAAATATCTTTCAAAACTCAGTAAGAACAAATAATCCAATAAAAAATTAGACAAAAGATTTAAACAGACAACTCACCAAAGAAAATGGCAAATAAGCACATGAAAATATGCTCAACATTATTAGTCAAGGAAAATGCAAATAAAAACCAAAATGATGTACACACTTATTAGAATGTCTAAAATATAAAAACATTGACTATATGAAGTATTGGCGAGGATACTGCTAGAAGGAATTTGGAAAACAGGTTAGTAGCTTCTTCAAAACTTAAACACACACCTTCCATATCATCTGGCCCATCCACTTCTAGTATGCACTCCGAGAGAAATGAAGGCACATGGTCATACAGAGACTTGTACACAAAGGATTGTAGCAACTCTATTTAGAATAGTCAAAGCTAGAAATAATCCAGATGTCCATCGACAGGTGAATGAATAAATAGATTGGGTCATATCTATACATAAAAAAGGAACCTCATTTCTTTGAGGGGGGAGCAGGGTTACAAGGGCCTTTTTTATTGTAAAGAAGACACAACATAAAACTTACCATCTTAACCATTTTTAAGTGTACACTACAGTACTGTTAAGTATATGACAGATTTCTATACTTTCACCTTGCAAAACTGAAACTCACCCACTGAAGAACAACTCCCCATTTTCCCTTCCTACCAGCAAAAGAGATCACACACACACACACACAAAACACATGGATAAATCAGATACACACAACATGGGTAAATGTCAAAATAATTATCCTGTACACTGACTGAAAGAAGCCAGACCAAAAAAAAAAAGAGTACATACTGGGTGATTCCATTTATGTAAAGTACTATAAATTGCTAACTGATAGTGATGAAAAACAGATCAGTGTTTGTGTGGGGATGAGGGAAAGACAAGGAGGGGTGGAAGGAAGGGATTAGAAAGAAGTGATGGAAAATTTCTCTACCTTGATTGCGGTGATGGTTTCATGTTCTGTCAAAATTTATAAAATTATCATTGTAAATATGTGAAGTTTATGTGTCAGTAAAACGGTTGAAAATGTTAAAAAGCAGATAAAAAATGGATATCGGTCATCATGGTCCTTCAACAATTCCCACAGCTCAGAACTGAGCCTCTGTGTTGTCTGGCCCCTCTCCCTTTTGCTCTCTCACCTCATTGCATTAACTTTCTAAAGCACAGAAAATCAACTCTCTCTCCCTCCTTTTCCTCTGTGCCTCACTTTGCATAACCAAAATCAGATTTAAAATTTTGGTTGTTAGATGCTTGCCAGATTATTTCTGTGGAAAGGCATTCGTGCCTCACGGCGATAAGGAAAGCCTCCGCGCGCTCTCTAGCCCGATCTAGTGTTATGAATGACCCATATGACCTTGATGACTCAGGATCATCATGACAATATTAATTATTTCACTATGATTGTGTTGGCATCTACGGAAACCTACTGGGTTCCTATCCAAATTGACTCCAACTCCTGAGCTTCAAAAACTCTTCTCTCTACTTGTTACTTTTCTCTTCCCTCGTCAGATTGTCAGCTGTCACTTCTGCTGTTTTCAAGCACCTGTTAGGAGAACCTTTGTCTTTCTGTTTTTGTAATTTCCTTTTTCTAACCTGTTTTGGTTCAGAAAACTTGTAACCAAGGAAGTGAGAATGGTACATAAATCTGAAACAAATATAGAACCTGAGTGGGTAATTGAGGCTTATATTTTTTAAGTAAGGTACATTGGATTCATGCCATTTATATTGATACTTCTACTTTTTGTTTTTTTTTCAAGCCAGTGATACTNCATTGGATTCATGCCATTTATATTGATACTTCTACTTTTTGTTTTTTTTTTTCAAGCCAGTGATACTTATGTGATGTTATTGTATCTAATTCCCAAGAAAAATATAGGATTAAAAATTTCTATGTTTTCAGTTGGAGAAACTTTGTTTTCCATAGAATAATTTGCCAGGGTAGTCAGGCCTTTTTCCAAATGCTAGGTATATACACACAATGTCCCTTTTTATTTCTCTAGATGTTTCCAATATGTTCACTTGTAGATATCATAGCATTATATTATCATTCGGTCCTGTGAGAAATAGGTTATTTAAATGAAAGCTGTTGGTATAACACCTTAAAATAAATTTTACTGCAACAGTATAAAGTTGTATGATCTTTCCTAGTTTAATGCTCAAATAATGTGACTGATAAAGAAAAAGTTATTAAGTCATTGCAAATGTCTTTGAAGCGTGCGATGTCCAGAAATCTGAATTCAGATTTATAACTTCAGCAATAAGTGTCTAGCATTCTCTAGCTCTTCCTGTACCCTGCAATATTTTTCCAATTTAAAATTAACATAAGATCTTATTTGATTTATCTCGGTGTAATGTATTATATAATGATTGCTGAGGAGCATGCACTGTTAAAATGGACAAAGAGACATTCAAGTTCAACGATTCTTTTCCCGTATCATTCTGTTATCTTTGCGTCACCTCTTTCACCTAAGCCTCAATAAATGCACTTTGCTAGGAGATTATTGTGGCTCAGAGGCTGTCATTTGGAAGATTTCATTTTGCAGTAGTACTTTGAGATGCATTTAGAAAAGGAGCGGTGTTCTTTCTCATTTCAACACCTGAGGGATAGGAAATGCTCTCCCACTTACCACACGAAAGTGAAAGGTGCTTAGGGATAGTCAGTGGGTGTGTTTAGTGGTTAATTTGCTTGACGGCTCTTCAGTCCTTGGTGGTACCGACCAGCTCTGTCCTTGCAACATAGCCAGCCTCATGCTTTCAGCTCCTTCTTTATCTCTTCCTTTCCATAATACTTTGCTATCCTGGTTTCTCGATGTCCTCTCTGGAATCTCAGTCACCTTGCCAGCCCCGCTTTCTATACCTGTCCCTTAAATTTTAGGAATCCTAAGGGTTCTTTTCTCGGCCTTCCCTTCTCCCAATAAAGTCAACTGACTGATTACCAATACGTGCTGTTAATTTATTGTTCTAAATCTGTAGCCCAGAATGCTTTCCTGAAAGTAAACTGTGTAACAACTACTTGCTAGATATCTCTACTCCATAATTCTATGTTTTTTTATGTGACACCTCTTTTTCTGTCTACAGGCAACTGGTCCTCAGGGCTCATTAAAGGAAGGTGCCAAAGGCTCTCTTCAGAAAAGCTTCGGGATTCTTAATGAAGCCAAGAAATTAGCAAATACTGTAAAAGGTTAGTGACCCCTTTTTATTATTATTTTCTGGTCAATTGTAGTTGCAGTTGATAAGACATTTTATCACATGATTGGAAAATATAATTGTTTCAGCATGATTTTTATGATTATTTTTATTATCTGGGTCTAATGCAAGTAAACTTTCTCACCAGTTTTACATTATCTTGTCTTTACTCTCATTTTGCATTGGGTAATATTTCATCATTTGAAGCCTAATTTTTATAGCATCATTTCACTTACATCTAAAGTTTGGTAACTTTTAAATGAAAATCTGATAAAATTTTAACCACACAAAACCCCACTTTCTTCTGCCTTCAGAGTGATAATCACAAAGGAATGAATCAGGCAGATAGAGCACAAATGTCCTCGTGAAACTTTCAATTTTGTTAGCAGGTCATATTTGTGACACGTTTTCACACCTTTTAATACATTCTTATTATGTATTTTATTTCGAATTCAAGGATCAAAATGTATAAAATATCTACCCTGATATATTATGGGTTTTACATTAAAAACGTATTATTCAATATAGCTGCTCTCTAAATAAGCTATTATATTTATTATTTCATTCAAAAATCTTTTGTTTCTCATTGAATTGGCTTCTCCTTCTCTCTTCAGTCTCACTTTACCGTTTTCTGGCTTGTATCCATGCCCCAACCTTACTGAGATATTCATGGTCCCTCCAACATGTGCTATCGTTTCAAGCCTCTGCTTCACACCATTAGCCCTTCCCTTAGGAATGCTTCATCATCTCTCTTCCTATTTCATCTAACTACTTTCTACCAGGCCTTCAAGATTTAGCTCAAATGTTATCTTCTCTGGGAAACCCAACACCCCACCTGAATTATATGCCCCTTCTCTGTGCGTACCTTTTCCACAGACGTTTCAAACCACTGCAGCCAGGCGCTTCAATTTCATCTTCTTGAGGACATGCACAAGATTTGTTTTCGAACTTTGTATTTCAGACGTATAATATCGCACTTACTGCTCAAATCAGGAAATAAGCAAATTTTTCAAATCAAGGAATGGTGTCTGTCTTTACTAACCTTAGAAAGAGAAAATGCTTTATAATCATTTATATTTGTCATGCTTTAAACTAATAGTCCACCGTCTCCAATAGAAGCTGCTATGGAATTACACATTTGGTCTCCCGTATCGATGGCACCTTGATAGTAAAATGCTTTGGACTGTGTATCACAGGTGAAATAAGACTCCCTATATCCATAGTTCTGTGCACTTATTATACCTGAATAGTGACTATAAAGAGTCAAGACCCGTTTTCTGTTGGACAAGTTGATCTCATTAATTGTGGTTTTCCTCCAATACCCTTGCTGGAGCTGTAATTAGGGTGAGGGGAGTGAGGGGAGTGGTCAAGTGCAGGGTCCTGTTTTTACTTCAAATGTTAATGTTTTGTTCATTATTGATATTTTAAAAATTAATTTGATTTTTTAAATATTGTATCAAAATAGCTTTAATTTGATTACTGAGTTTTTTGGTGTGCTTTTAAATTTCACACCTGACGTTAATGCCTCAATCACCTCAACCTACTCCCAGCCCTGCCCTCGCCTCTATTTCCCTACAAACACTGGCATTATAAAAATTAAAAAAAGAATTTCATTTTTAGGGATTTTTTTCCCCAAGGGAAAAAGAAATCTAAGGGTAAGCATTGTAGAACAGGTTAGGAGACACAAATGTTCATTAGTTTAAATGTCTTCTTTTGTACTCCAGGTAGTACATTATTTAAAGTAATGAAACCCACAAACTACTCAAGTAATAATTCCTCCAGAAATCCAAGCCAAGGCCCTGACGGAGATGGGAGTGTTTTCTTGCTACATTATGACAATCCTCTGATTTGTGGCCAATTATACAAGTTATAAAATGGCTGTTAATCAGGGAAATGCCATATATTACCACCAGGAACTGCTGAAAGAGGCCCTACAGAGCAAAACTCTTGACAGCAGCTATTAAAATAGAGATTTAGTCATTTCTCTCTCTATGGTGCCTGGAGTTAGAAGAAATAAAAATGGTGAGGCCAGTTTATACTCCGTATTTTTAATTTGTTACTTGGTTCCACTCAGTGCAGCCCTGTTAGTTTGCGAGCTGCGGTCATGAATGCCTTAGCACTGGCTCTGCCGTCTCCATGCCGCCCCTGCCTCGAGGGAGCCGGACTTGCCAGGAGCAATTTGTTTGGCTTTTTAACTTGTGAACATACATTTGTTAAAAGCGAGTTTGCCCTTACGCGCATTTCAGGTTTGAAGCCAGTCTACACTGCACTGATTGAATGTCTACGGAGACAAAAATAGTCTTGTTGATGGATATGGGGCTTGGTTCAAATTGATAATCGAAAGAGTTAGGAGATGAATTAATACCACTATGTGAATTAATACTACTTTTCAGAGTGACAAGAGATTTTGTCAGTAGCCAGTTGAGATTCTCATGCAATGTGTACCGGGCAAGGAGTGAAGTTGAGGATGGTATATAACAAGTAAGATTTTGCAGTTATATACCTTATTGTATGTAGAATAACTTTCAATTTTATTTACTTCTAAATTTATCACTAATTTTTGTCTTTGCCCAAATTAAGTGAAATCATTTAGTTAATAGGAACAAGCAGATAACATGTCTCTGAAATGGATGATATTCACATGAAATAAAAATATCTATTCCCAAGCCCAAAAATATTGAATCAGTGGATTGAATGAAATGTGAGTTGTCCAACACAGAACAGTAGCAAAATTATTCCAAGCATTAATTTTTATCCAGTTAATCAATTCTTTCTTGCTATACAGTGGTCCTCCCAACACTCAGTCAGTCAGACAATTATATAAGAAAGGTTCTGCGATCCTAAATGTAATACACTTGCAGTTACCAACCTGTTAACATTCTTTGTTATTATTTTAAATTAGAAAAAGAGAGTAAACAGGAACACTGCAGTGATGTTAAAGCAAAGTATGATTTAAGGGTTAAATTTTGTCTAAAGTATTCTCTTATTATTAAAGGTCCACTCCTTTTGAACTCACATACTTACATTTGCCAAAATCAGCCTTTCCATAGGCAGGCATATGAAAGACAAACAAGATCTGCTCCGCTGATTACAAAACAAAACAAAACAAAACAATTTGGGACTGTATGGATGAAGTCAAGCCTGCATCCTCCATCCTACCACAGTCCGGGGACAAAGCAATCTTTTCCTGTAGAAATTGCTGATTCCTGATACAGTTATAGTTTCTCCTTTGGAGTGTGAATAGAGAAAATAAAGATAAAAAATAAAGCCAGGTTGGACTCATTTTAGGAGTGAAAATGAAAAGTAGCAAAGTAATGGCAAATATAGAAGGGTGGGAACTATTGGAACCAAAGGGTACTTGTATTGCTTAAAGGTGTTCAAATTCCATTTCTTTTAGATGACCTTGCTGCCCAGAACCAAGCAGGCCTGCTGGCCCCCAGCCAGGCAGCAGAGCTTGTCCTAGAGGAACCACTTGTAGTTTTGAAGTCTGATTATTTGGGTTTCTCATTCCACTGGCTGAAGAGAGGGCTCCCCTCTCTCCTGATAGCTTAAGTCTTTGAAGATCCTGCCACCAGAAAAGTGCCCTTTCCCTCCTCGCCTCAGACTTCTTGCTATGACCCTCCAGTGTGGGGAAGAGTATATTCTGTTGCAGCTAAACAGTTACTAAGGGCCTGTCAGGCTCTGTGCCCATGTTGAACAAGGTGTAATTTGGCACTTCTGGATCAGGACAGTTTCCCAGTAACATGCCCCTCTATGAACACAGGTCCCATTAAGTGACCTCAGAGGTCCCCATGCAGGGTCACTCTAGTACACAAGTCCGGGAAATAAAGGCAGTCAGAGACAGGACACGTCCCAAACTTGTGACAGTAACTGGGGAAAGGGAAGCTTAGGAATAACATCACACAAGGGAGCTAGAAGTACAAAAAAGTGGAAAGACTGGGTGCAGCACCCTCATCAAATCTGTTGACAGGAGTCGGGGCACAGGAATGCAGTCCTCGGTTTCCCCAGCTTCATTCCTCGCACGGCCGCTGCTGCTTCTGCACAGGCCTCAGGAGCCTGCACTGGAGCACAGGGTTGGCTTAAGGAGCAGGCTCTTCAGAAATCTCAATATTAAGAGGACGAAGGGCTATCAAAGTGGATGAAAAATTATAGTAAAGTGACTATTTTATGTTCTTAAAATATCCAGAGATAAAAATAGATTATAATGGAATATAACAATATTAATAAATTATGAAGTATAATCATATTATATAATTAATAAAGTTGGCCACCTTGATATGTAAAAAAAAAAATTCATGTAAGTGGAAGAAACATTAACAGTCTGAATAAATTGCATGTATGTAGTGGAGCCAATTCTTTAGCCCAGATTAGTCTGGCTTCAAAGTTGATGCTTTTAACCACTGCTGGACAAAAACTCTGGGCATCTGCCATAGTCCAGAAGGTGATACATTAACATTCATGGCCCTAACAAATGCTTGATAAATTAATAAGTGGATGAATACCTGAGAGTGGAAGGAATCTCTCATTGCCAGGAAGGTGAAAATCAAGGTTTCCACATGACCTCGTATAGATCCCTAGCCTGTCCCAAACTTTCCACTTCAGAACTACAGACAGAATCACTGCAGAGTCTGACTTATCTTCTAATTCAGAAAGAGCCTCTAGAACAAAAGATGAAGCACATTTGTAGGAAATAGAAGTTATATGGATTAATTAAATTTTGTTTTACAATGAAATCCTAAAGAGAGGATATTTCTTCAATTTTCAGTAAAGGAGCAAATAAGAAGTGTTAATGAGGAGTAGTTCATAATAAGACAAATGTCATGGGGATGAAAAAGTTCATTGCAAAATGTTATCTAGATGGCAGTTGATTATATTTAACCAGAAGCTTTCAAAATTAATAGCAGGTCTATATACTTCACCCTTATAAATGAGGGATTCTTTGAAGGTACTGATTTGTGCATTTGAGGAACTTAACTGGATGATTTTGAATAGTCAAAAAAAACATTTCCATTAAATCTGAAAATATCATTCTTATATTTAGTTGAAAATGAGGGCTATATACATATGTTTAGAAAATATAAAAGGAAATAAACAACATGAGTTCTGGACCATGCAGTTTAAATGATGAAGACTGAATTATTAATAATGTTATTGAGAACTGGCAGATACCCCAGGGCAATTATCAAACCAACGTGAATTATTTTGTTACCATTTACTAACTGCCTATGATAAATCCAATACATTCTCAAATATCCTATTATTTATTTCTCATATTGGTCATATGAAGGAAGGTGTTACTTTCATCTTATACAGGTAGAAAGTACGGGATAGAAGGTATTTGAATGAACTCACTTCTTCCACCTCTATAACCTATAATGATTTTATGACACCACACTGCCTTTTCTTCAGGCTAGAATTTTGGAAAAGACATGATTAATGACCAAAGAAATTATGCGTAACAGCTTTATTTGAAGATATTACATGGCATGGTTTAATGATACTAGTTCTAATTTAACTAAACTCTAATTCATATTTAGCACAGTGTCAGGAACATGGAAAATATGAGCAAATACACATTATAAGTGGGAGCAGCTTACAAATCTGTCCAGTGAATTTCATTCTAAGTGTGTCTGTCTCGTGCGATGTCAGCAGCTACGCAACAGAGGGAAACGATCTTGTCGGGCATGTCCACTGCCTACCCTTGCTGCACTGCTTTTGCCCTGGCTTTGTGAGCTCTGTCCCTGTCAAACCCAACCCTGCACACTGGTCTTCAATGTCCGAGGACAGGGTGAGAGCAGGAGAGCCAAAGCTGAAGAAGTGTGTGCGTGTAGCCTTTGGGGCCTGGTGGGGTGATACCCACAGGGAACACAAAGGGAATGTCTTGGCTACAGCTATGGGGCGTGAGAGCTGAAGAAATAGGAGATGAAATCCAACAAAAGGTCATGTGGGTTATAAATTGAATCCTTTTCTGGTTTTCCACAAATTGCAAATAAAGCATTTGGTTGGATTTTCTCTTACCTATCGGTATTTGTATGTCTTTGGCCATGTTACAGTTCAAACTGGACCTCATGCATGTTTCCTTACATTTGGTTATAACTACACTCTACCTCATGTATCTTTTCACTTAAAGCCACCCTCGAATGCTTATTTTTCTGTTTTCATTGCCATAGTTTTATAAGTTTTCCACTTTAAAATCTGCAATTCGGTCAACAGGTTTGGCTCAGTGGTTCGAGTGTCGGCCTTTGAACTGAGGGGTGTCAGGCTCAGCTCTGGTCAAGGGCACCTACCTCGGTTGCAGGCTCGGTCCCCAGCCTGGGCCCGGGCGTGTGCGGGAGGCAACCAATTGATGTGTGTGTCTCTCTCTCTCCCTCCCTCCCTCACACTCACTCTCTCTGACAAGAACAGAAAAAATGTCCTTCGGTGAGGACTTAATAAAACAAAAACAAAAAAATCTGCCATTCTTCTCTGTACACTTCTACTCACCTATATCTGTTGACAGAGCTATAAAGCATTTAGACTTGGTTTGAGAAATTCTAGAAACTACTTTGAAAAAAATGATCAGAATGTAAGAAAAGATAAATTAAGAAGGAATCAGGTACAAATAGCTGAAACATAGAAATCAGGCCAATCAGAATATTCATGTTTTGACTTTTCGAGACAGAAAGCAGAGGGTCAAAATTCCTGCTTTGGTCCTTGAAGGACGGCGGTAACAACGTCCTTTGGGCCAGTCTTTCTTCTGAGTAACTGGCACGATTACTCAGCCAGTACTCGCTATCCGAATGCATAAAACAGTACAAACCAAGTGATTCCCTTTAAATTAATGGTTTTTTTAAAAAAACTGTACATGAATATCTTTCCTGCCAGAACATTTCAAATACTTCATTATTTAAAAAATCAAATCCAGTCAAGAAGCTAAGAAATGAAATTTGTACCATTCCACTTCCTTAATTGACAAAGATTTTCAAGTTAATATCAAAAGAACAGCCCTTTAAGTATTCTCAAGGAATTCATATAGATATCAGTTATAATCAGACTGGCTTAATTTCTGAAAGCACACTTGCAATAACCTATCCAAAGATTTTATTTTAGCGCAGACAATGAAAATAACAGAAGTATTAAAAAAGATGAATTGTGATTGACAAAAGGAGAAAAATCTAATTCCTTGGAAAGTACATTTTGAAGAACTAGCGTTAAGAAATAATATCTTAGTGACTGAAATAGACATTGATATTTTAGAGCCATGCCTTGCCAGAATATTTTATGCTTTGTTTTTCACTGAGGTCAGGTCTTTGGCTTGGAACAGAGAAGCAGATGCATTAAACAATATTATGTGCTTATATTACTGCAGTATAACAGTGGTTTAATCTGTGTGCCTATAAAACTCTCATGTGAAATAAAGTGGATCACTAATTAGTACGCTCGGTACTCCTCACACCCAGAACACTGAGAGTTAAAAGTCCCCTGTCTTCCTTCCCCTTCCTGTTCCTCCCAGATGAAAGCCCATAGATGGAGATGCTTGTCCAGCCGCAGAGGTCCGCGCAGTTCCTCTAAGAGCCCGGAGTCAGGAGCTCTGACAGGGGTGGGCACACAGTCAGGCCGAGGCTGCTTGGCCTCTGTTCTGCCAGAGCTGGTCTCTCCTGGTCTGCCCATCCTGGGTACCAGGAAAGTGACGAAAACAACAGTCTTGGTCTTGACCCGTAAGAGTCTCCTGTTGTTGAGGTCGCTTAAGTATTTGTTTAACTGTTTTAAATAAAAGAACAGAAATATCCACGCAGAGAAAACAATTCAGCCAGCACAATCGGGTATAAAATGAAAGGTTTCAGTGCACTGCCCTTCCCACCGCCATCACCTCCCTACTTGTTCCATTCCTAGCTCCTGTCGTAAGTCAAGGCTCTCTGGCATGTCCTTCCCCCCTGCCCAGCACCAGACCCACCCTGCCAGAGTGTGTTTATGTCAGCGCCTACTCATCTGATTCTTTTTAAAGATGGCAATATGTACCATTGCATGGATATGCCGCATTAGTATAAAAGTCCCCTAATACGGAGCTTATTTGCTGTTATAAATAAAGATCTTATGAATATCCTAGAAGGTATATATAGATATACTTTCACAAGTATATTTTTGGGGTAAATTTCTGGCAGTAGAATTGCTGAGCCAAATTCATGCCTATTTAAAATTCTAATAAAAGTTACTAAATTGCTCTTCAAAAAGTGGCATCAGTTTGTACTTCTCCCAGCACTCTTGTGAACACTTGGTATTATCAGACATTGAACTTCTCCCAATCTGAGAGATGAGAAATGATATCTCGCCTTTCTTTTGCTTTACATTTCTTTAATTATGATCATGTTGGGTGTTTTGTTTTAATTTGGTGATTGATTATTTCTGTTTTATTGTGAACTATGATTTCTCCACTTTGCTCATTCGCTTTTAAAATGTGGAACACTTTGCACGTTTGCCTGCTATTTTGCAGGTAGGAGTTGCTAATCCTCTCTGAATCATTCAATTTGATTATATGTATATATATGTGTGTGAGTGTGTGTGTGTGTGTAGCTTATGTGAGGGTCATAAGATTTTCTTACCTGTGACCAATTACTTAAAGCAGTAAAGGAGAAACTGAGAGGAGAGGAAGGGAGGGAAGAAGAGAGGGGAAGAAAGGAGAGGTGAGGAAGAGCATTGCTCTCTAATGTGCTCAACTAATCCCTGTTTTGACTACCAATCCCTAGTAACATGCAATAGTTAAGAACATCATTTCTGGACTGAGGCTGCTTGGATTTGATTCACAACTCTGCCATTTAATATCCATGCAAATTTAGGAAACTTAAATTCTCTAAGCTTCAGTTTCCTCATTTGTAAGTTAGAAATGGTAATAGTATGTACATCCTAAAAGTTATTGTGAGGATTAAATAAAATAATCCAACAAAGCTGACAAACACTAAGCGTGGCAGGTGGCCACATTCAGCGACTGCCAGTCACTCCTGTGACTAAGCGCTGCCCAGGTCACACCCTCTCCTTCCTGGTCCTTTTATATATCTTTCATTTATTCAGTTCCTCTGTTCACTAATAAACAATGTAAGAAAAAGAAGACAGATTCAATATTCATATACATTTGGAGTTTATTACAAAGTAGCAAAGTAGCAAAAAAAACTTACATAAAGCTCATTTCAAGCAATTTGTAAAATATGGTTTTTCTATTAAAAATTATGACAGTTTAACAGAAATGTGCAAGAAGTTGTTTTTCCATTCCTTTGATTTATATTTGTTTCAAACAAATACTAATAAATGATGTTTACTGAAATTGGGAGATTCTGCTGAACAACCCTATCTAGCTGAGATTTTTAAAAGCTAATCTAAGGTTCCATTTTGGTAATAAATTTTTTTAAAGGTGACATTAATGGGAGTGATGTCAAGAGGACATCATTACAAATGCAGTGAAAGACTGATTCTTTTGAAGTTTTTCTTTATAGAAAATCATCCACTTAGCTCAGATACCAGGAAGAAAACGTAATTGTTGAACATGTTGAAATGTCAAATGGTCATGTAAACACATATTTTATATTATGCTCTGAAATACGTATATTTATGGATAGATGCCAATAAATATTAAATGAATTAAATCAATTGTCCTGCTTTTTACAAACTTTGTATTACAATAACCTGAAATTGTATATCCAGAGATGATTAAAACTATTTTATGCTTTTTTGGTGTTTTTGTTTGTTTGTTTTTGTTTGTTTTTTGTTCACAGAAAATGATGACCATTTAAAAGGCTTGCAAACCAGATTAGAAAATGCCGACGTTAGAAATGGGGATCTCCTGAGAGCTCTGAATGACACTTTGGGAAAGTTATCAGCAATTCCAAATGGTGAGCTTTTAGGACACTGCAAATTGTGCCAGTTGTTCTGAACTTTTAAAAATGTTCTATTTTTCAGCACTTTTTTTTTAAACATTACACTGCTGTAGTCAGGATATTAGATACTCATTTTGTTACTTATTAATTCTTCCTTGTGAGAAGGAGAAACTAACCATACTATATACTGCGATATTTCTTATCATTTGTTACCTCAGCTGACATCAGCAGGACTGTGTTACAAAAAGAAACATCTAGCCATCTTATTACTGTATTGTTGTTCCATGTTTCAGCCCAGGGCATCTTATAATAGTAGTGGGAAAGAATGGAATCATACAGACACTGTTTCTAAAATGTTGATGCACTACCACAAAGCTGCAGGTTACTACTGTACCGACAGCAATAGGTGAGAGCCAGCTGCCTCAACACGTATTTCAGCAAAGTTTGGTTCCTTAAATGTTTCAGCTTTCAAAAACATTAGCAGCTCAACCATGTCTGTGATATCTTCCGACCTATTACAAGTACTTGAAGCTATTGCTTGGTATACTAAAAACACTATTCTTTTAGGCTTCCTATTTTTGTATTTTTCATAGCAGGACATAATAGCAAGGGTTGCTAACATTTACGGAGTGCTTACCCAATGTGCTTATGTTAGGTGTATGTGAGCCTCGCACTAATCCTACAAGGGGAATAGCATTATTTTCCCCACGTTACAGGTGACGAGCTGGGACACAGGATACTGAAGGTCATTGTTAAAAGTGACATACATGAGATTTGAACCCCACAGTTTAACTTCATAGTTTGTGGTCTTAACAACTAATCTACACATACTAGTAAACATTTATGTTTACAGTAGATTTTCTTTATACAAATGTGACCAAGGGAACAAATGCATATATTTATACAATGGAGGAAATATTAAAATCTTAATTATTTTTACTTTTTTTAACATGAAAAAATCCAGAGTAACTTTCTAGTTTTCTATTACCCCTTCAGTAGTAAGGAAAGTACATAGAAAATTTCTAAGGCTGAAAACAAATGTAAAAACATGAACACAGCCCAGCCGGCGTGGCTCAGAGGTTCAGCATCGACCTAGGACCCAGGAGGTCATGGTTCTATTCCCAGTCAGGACACATGCCCAGGTTGCCGGCTCGATCCCCAGGAGGGGGCGTGCAGGAGGCAGCCGATCAATGACTCTCTCATCATTGATGTTTCTCTCTCTCTCCCTCTCCCTCCCTTTCTCTGAAATCAATAAAGATATTTTTTTAAAAAAAAAAAATGAACACAGTCTAACATACCTGAAAAAAATATGTTATCTAGCTCTACCCTTAAACTAAAATCCATTGATCCCCCCCCCCTTCCCCATGGCTGTGCAGATTAAATCTTAAACCTACTTTTTATGAGGACTCACTTGGATAAATTTTTCTCTTTAATATGTGTAATAGCAAACCACAGTATATTCTTCTACAGTGAGCATTTAGAATAATCACTTTGCTCTCCTAAGAGCTAATCAGGTATTCATAGCAAAGGTCCCTGAGAAAATTTAATTTAGCTTAAATTTTAGTTCATTTGTTACAACTGAATGAGACAAAGCTCAGCCTTTCCCTTTGCAGGTGTGTTCCCTAGGCCAGCCGGCTGAGCCCTGCTGCATGGATTAAGTCACTAACCCCAGACCCTTTGTTTTGTTTCTCAAACGCTCTTCCGCTGGCAGACACAGCCGCTAAACTACTGGCCATTAAGAACAAAGCAAGACAAGCCAACGACACGGCAAAAGATGTCCTGGTCCAGATTAAAGATCTCCACCAGAACCTGGATGGCCTGAAGAAAAATTACAACCAACTCGCAGACAGCGTAGCCAGAACAAACGCTGTGGTAAAAGACCCTTCGAAAAACAGTAAGATCCCCTCTTTCATCTTGATTATGTCATTTATTTCCTCACACTAAAATAGCAGCCTACACTCGCGCCCTTAGAGCTGGAAGGACCCCTCGTGGGGACGGAGTCTGTCTTTCTCGTGCCACAGGCTGGCTCAGGAACCGAGGGTTCTGCACTCAGAGCTGGAATCCAAGCCTCCCCGCTCTGCGCCACGGCCTTTCCCCTCCAAAAGGGTCCAATCGAGAGGAAATTAGGAATCCTCAAAGTCTGCATGATATCTGACAGAGGGACGCCAAGCACTTTTTCATCCGTCACTGTCATTGAAAACACGTTTGTACCTGGGGAATCATATCCTCAAAGCTGGTGAAGTTCCATGGAACATAGAGGCCAAGGGGCATTCCAGTTAGAACATGGCATTAAAATGGTATCAACCTGAAATGGTTTGACATTCAAAAATATCAATGTTTTATTATTTAGATTTCAGTTATTTAACATTTTCGGGAAATTAAAGCATTCATCTAATTTACACAGAATATTTCTTCACATCTTTTATATTGCATCAAATTATATTTAGTTAATAAAGGTTTACTGAGAAATGTGGGAGAGCTTAATATAATGGTAATTTAAATGATTACGTGTAGCCAATAAACCTTAGAATTTTTATATATTTTTTCCAATCTGTAAAGTGATAAAACGTTATCATCATAGGTAATTCACCAAAGGAGACCCTTGATTTTTTGGACTTGTTACTTTTAAGGGAGTAGCCCTCTTTACATACCAACATTTTCATTGGGTATCAGAATATTTGTAGAGTATAATACGAAAACCCTGTTATTGGCATTACGTGCTATATAATTCAGCCCTAGCTGGGGAGCGGGGCGTGGGCTTTCCACCCCGCAGCCTCAAATCAGATGCCAGCGATGCACTGGGACAGGGCCGGGCGGCTCCAGGGTGAGGGCTCCTCTGAGCTGGGGGGGGACGGGGAG